GAAATCCTGCCCTGGCCAACCGCTCAGATTTCAGCTGATTGAAGGAAAACTGGATTTCCTCAGCAGTGGCATTTGGTCCTTTCTGAAACAGAAAGGAGACACGCACTGTCCCCTGAGGACTGAAGACCTGGAACTTTACCCATTAGGCCCCAAGCTGTCCATCCATAAATCTTTCAACGAAACTGACACAGGTGCTTAAAATAGATTGGAAATCAATCCAGAGCTTATGCCTTTTTGTATATAAAATATATTTTTTTCAAATACTTTTGATTTTCTCAAAATAGAGCCCTGAAAACATTTATTTTAAAAGTTACTGAAAGTACTTTTTTTTTTCTTTTTGCTCCCGTTGTTTTTCTGGATGTCCCAGATGTGGGGCAATGAGACTACGTAGGTCCCGGGGGTGACACTTCCCACCTGTTCAATGGCCAGCATCATCACTGCAAGCTGGTTTTGCTCAGCCTTGTACAGAGGGCTCACCCTTGCACAGGTCCCTCTCCTCAACTGTCTGGTGGCTGCTCCTAGGGGGGCCAGTGACAGTGGGCCCAGACAGGGCTGTCTCCTCCCTGACCCCCTGACCGGGCCCTTGCTTTGCAGAGCAGCTGCCTCAGCAGCGAGCTTATGGTGCTGGCCGGCCCAGGCTGCAGAGCTGCGAGCCKCAGACCTGCAGCGTCCGTCACCCTGGGCAGCCAGGCCAGATGGTTACCTGGCTCCTGCGGCAGGGCCTGCGGTGGTGACTTGGCCGGCCTGCTCTACTGTGCAGGGCAGGCTCCCTCTCSCTGGGCTCCAGCGTGCCCGTGTGGGCACCATGTCTTTGGCCTCTGGTGTTGAACGTGAGCTTCCAGAAGCAGCCATTTGCTCTGCACTGGGAGCCTTTCTGTTCCCGAGGGAGGGAGGGAAAGAACCAGGGCTTAGCCCTGGCTGTCAACAAGCAGATTCAAATGCTGAGCAGCTCCGTGCCCTCTCCCGGGTCTTGCAACCCCCTGGGCCATTCACCCCCCACCCACCACCCTGCTGGCACTGGTTCAAGTCCTGGCAGAGCTGGAGACAAAGGTGCTGCTGGAAGACCGGAGGCTGTGGCCCTGGCTCCTCCCACTCAGCTTCTCAGGCCTTGCCAAGGTCACCGCGTGGGAGGACAGCCTGCCGGGCTTGTTGGCAAAGCCCTCACCCAGGCAACTTGTATTTTTAACTCTCCGCCAGGCTCCTTGCGACTCAGCACCTCTCACAGCACAGAATTCAGCCTCAGCCTCCTGAACAGCAGGCCTGACTGCTATGGCCCCTCTCCTGTTAGCAAACAAAAGAAGTTTGGACCAAAAAATAATAGTTTTGTTAAAGTCTAGCAATAATTTGTTCTATAAGAGGCCAGAACTAGAGGCTGGGTAATCTTGCTGTTTGCTTATCCATAATTCATGTTTAACATGGCTGCAGAAGGTATCCCCTAAGGAGTGCCTCAGGTTTCCATTACATAGCCCTTTTGTAAACCTACCTACTTAATAGATTTATGTCAAACTACCATCTTCTTTTAACATTCAAAAGCCAACTTTTCAGCCGGGCACTGTGGCACATGCCTGTAATCACAGCAGCTCGGGAGGCTGAGGCAGGAGGATTGAGAGTTCAAATCCAGCATCAACAAAAGTGAGGCACTGTCTCTAAATAAAATACAAAATGGGACTGGGGATGTGGCTCAGTAGTCCAGTGCCCYTGAGTTCAAGCCCCAGTACCCTCCCCCCCAAAACAACTTTTGCCCTTGTTAAYTTGCAATATAGGACTGGATCCCACCTCCAACTTGATTCCCAGCAATGACTTAGAATACAGAGAAAGTGGCCTCTGCCCAAGCAGCTGAGGACGTTGTCCCTGCTCAGTGTTCTCTACCCACATCTTGGGAACCTCCAAGTACCCACTTATCAGCATCCTTCAAATATTTGACTTAGCACTGAGTTCTGCCTTGTTCCTTTTAATCACTTGCCTGTCTTATCAAAGATTTCAGCACAAACAGCACCTGCTGGGGCAGCCACAGTTGAGACACCCCGTCATTCAGTTCACGTCCCCATCCAGGGATGAGGAGGGCTGGCTGCATTTGGACAGGGTCAGTGCCCTCCCAGTCATGCCCAGGAATCAGAAGGCATGGAAACCATTCCCAAGCCACCTGCTTCCTTCCTGCCATGCAGACTGCACTGCCCARATGGCTCGGCCGTCACCAGACCCAGGCCAGAGCAGCAGCCCTCAGTCTTTGATGATCAGAGCCCTGGGGAATTAGCCTGCCTCTCCCAGGGGGCATTTGTACCACCTGAGGGCCAGGCTGGCTCACTGCCCACAGCACCCTGGGAGCTGGGCGGAGAGCTTCAAGTGACTTGTGCCCCTACACTGGTGGAGGTGCACCCTGCCCTGCAGGGAGACGACTCCCTCTGTGAGCAGAGGAGCTTTCTTCTGAGTGGCAGGGACTGGGCTCAGGAACCGGCTCATTTTAATTAGCTGTGTAGCTAAGCTGTGGCCCACGGCTTCAAAGACCCCAGGCAGGTGGGCCCCCGCAGTCTGCAGAGCCAGCACAGTTGATGCCTGTCTGTCGTGGCCACATCTCCCCAACTCAGGGCACAGGAGCTGAGGGAAGGTTATTATTTATTAAAAAAAAAAAAAAAAAAACATTTTGCATTCTTGAATTGCCTTTGTTGTAAAGAACAAAATAGAAGCAAATTGGGAGCGCCCCAGCACCCCAGGCTGTTGAGGGCATGCCAGAGGCCCTGCGAAGATTCGCTGGGGACAGAGGAAAGGGGAGGCCGGGAAAATGGGTTTCAGACACTTCCTGGACAGAAGCTCCTGATGATGCAGATTCCGTCCTGCTGTCCCCGTGACTTGCAGGTCTTCAGCGGGCAGCCCAGAARCTAAAAGGACCCCGAGAGGCAGGGGGCCAGGTGAGGGAGCCCGTCCTCCCTAGGAAACTGCCTGGGTCCTCTTGGGAAGTTGGCAGGGTTTGTCACTCCCTAGACGGCAGGCACCTAGAGGGTGGATGCAGAGGCCTCTGCCCACGCTCCTGCTCTCACCAAATCCAGACATTTGTTGAATTAAGTCCTAATCCAAGAAGCAAGTCCCTCGAATGGCTTCAGGCCCGTGAAGCTGAGCCCCGCGAAGCTGAGCCCCGCGGCCTCTGAGCCCCAGAGAGGCAGCTGGGCCTGGGTGGAGGTCTGGCCTTCCTCAGGCCTCACCTGCCACCTCCGCCTCCCAGCCAGGCACCCAGGATGGGCAGCCCCGCACCTGCCTCAGTTGGACCTGTCACCCAAGTGCCTAGGGTCCCCAGACTCCACCTCCACCCTGTTGCCCTCCACGCTGTCCCTGGCACAGCCCCTTGAGCTCAGCACACTGGTTTGCCTTTTGAATTTAAGCACCAGCTCGTCCCTTGGCCCCAGCAGCAGCCCGAGGACACCTGACATGCCAGGGATTTGGTCCTTCTGGCACTCGTTGGACCAGGACGCTCCTGTTGGAGTGAACATTCACCCACAGCACAGTCACCCATGCAGGGCTGCCTAGAGTCACCTCAGACTCCTCATCTGGGGCAGGGAGAGCCTGCTGTATGCAGCTCAGCTCCGTGGGGACTGCCATCGCCTGGCTGGGACAACTACCTGCAGACAGGTGGCTGGGGACCCTCGGCCACAGCCCAGAGAGAGGAGGGTCCCTCGGCAGCCACTCCTCCCCCACCAGGCTCTCCACTGAGATGACAATGAGTGGCCATTGGTGTTAGTACCATTAGCTACAAGCACGAGTCACTGTCCCCTAGGACAGCCTTTGGGTGGTTCATCAAAGAACCACCTGAGCTTCTGCAGCAGGAGGGTAACGACGGTGACACGAAAGCGGAGTTGCTCCTGGGTATAAGCTTCACTGGGAACGTTGAATCACACAAAGTACAAATGTCACCAACCACAAGAAACATCCAAGCCCGGTTTCTACCATCTGTGAAAAGTGGGGCACCAAGAGCACACCCGTGTGCTCGCATGTGCGRGACCCAGCTCAGGACGCCTGGGAGGCCACCATGGTGGCCTCTGGAGGGGGATGGCCAGGCCGGGCGCGGGCCCATGGCTGCCTTTTTACTGTCAACCCCAAGGCCAGGGTCTGAACAGATCAGATAGAGCGCGCTCAGCAAGAAAATGACTGCAAGTCCAGGCTCCCGGAGGACGCAGTGGCCAGTTATCAGGAGACCTGCTGGAAGGCCAGAGAGCCACCTCCCAGTGAGTGTCAACAGGAGAAGTGGGGCACGTCCAAGTGGCACTGCCAGCAAGAGGCCTGGAGGACAAATCCTAACAAAGCCACGCACAGCCAAGGACACTGCCAGGGCCAGCCACTGAGGACCCACGCAGGGCTGCAGAGACGGCACAGTCAGCAGGGGTCTCTGCAGCTCTGCCAGCTCCACACGGTCCTCTGCTGACCCTCCTGCCATCACCATCAGCCAACATCAGTGACTTGTTTCCACAGCTTCCTCCAATAGGTGACAGTGAGTCCTAGATGCTCACCTGGGCAGACGCTTCTCTGGCTTCTGCTGCTGCCACCTGTATGGGGACCACAGAGTCCTGGGGGTGTAGCTGGCCCATCTGACAGGAGCCTGGACCAGCAGCCCCAGTGAGGTCCCCACCACCAGAGCCTGAGGGTCTGCAGCCAGCCAGCCCGGAGTCCCAGCGCCCAGGGGCAGGCAGCGCCCACGGCCAGGGCTCCGCTGTGTGAACGCTGGTCACGAGTTTGAGGAGGCCCTGCCCGAGTCCAGCCCTGGGGACACACGCGGCAGAACGGCTCCTCCTGGTCTCCCTACCGAGGGCTGAGGAGCCAGGTGGACCGCGCCAGTCACCAGCCACCAGCATGCACTGGGCCCAGAGCCAACAGGAGACCGGCCCTTTAAGATGACCCAGCCACCCCTGTCCCTCTTGTTCAGTCCCAGCCACCCACAGCCGGCCCCGGCCAGGAACCAGGAACGGACACAAGTCACGCTCATTAACAAACCTTTTTTTTTTTTTATTGTCATTAGAGATAAAAATTGCAAAGTCCCACATACCACAGCCTGGATGGCACAGGGGACACAAACCCTGTCCACAATTTACAGGAGCCRCAGCGGAGGCCGGGCCAGGCTGTCCCTCTCTCCGCGGCTTCTCTGGAAGGCAGCGGCGGGTCAGTGGCAGAGGGCGATGGTCTCCATGTTGAGGAAGCGGACGTGCATCTTGGTCTCGATGTCGATTCCCTGCCAGATCTGTAAGGGACCGAGCAGCGTGAGGGGCGTCCCCACCTCACCGCAGCTGCCCGGGCCCAGTCCTGGCACCCACCCTCCCTGTCCCCGGCCGAGGTAAAGACCAGGGGCTGTCGTGAGCCTTGAGCCGAGCGAGGAAGAACAAGTCCCATCTGTCCTCCTGCTGGTTAATGTGGCTGTGACATTTGGCTTCTTCCTGAGTGTCGCAGCACGCTATGGTTAAGTCCAGAGGCAGGTCCCCTCCCGCCACGCCCCTTCAGGCTCCGTGGTCCTCATGCCACGGCCACAGCCCCTCAGCCCCCTTCTCATATGATGCGGGGACCACCCCACCTGCTGTCCCCTTCACGGAACACTAGGGGGACTCCGATGACATAGGCCTCGTTGGATTTTGTGAACTTGTAAGGGTAAAGTTGTGGAGTGTGACAGACCACCATCGGTAATCAGAAGCAGAGGACAGTCTGCTGGGTTCAGCCTGAGCGCTCACCGTGTTCTAGGCAGGGAAAGGGAATTCCCACCTAATGTTCAAGTCCAAGGCCACGCCCTGGCACTGCCATTACCATCCGTCCTGGCCAGGGCGCTGGTGCTGTCCCCCACACCCCCACAGCTCTACTCTCTCCTACTCCTTGGCAACTCGGGGCCCAGGGCACCACAGATGGGGAGATGGGAACAGGAACGGAGGGACTTGGTGGGCGGGTGACTTCTCACCGCCTCCCCGCTTATGTAAGAACTTCAAACCCTCAAGCTGTCACTCAGCGTCTCCAGGGACAGCCACGAGGCTGGGAAAGTCAGAACTGCCAGGGCGCCCAGAGACAAGGAGACMGGGGGGCCTTTCTTGTCACTTCCCAGTCTCCCAGGTGCTTCCCAGTCCCTGCCCCTGATCTGGGTGCTGCGAGGGACACAGGAGACCAATCTGGTTCCATCCAGGTGGCTCCCATTCACTGGGTGGGTGAGAGAGTCTCAGGGTGGTTTCTGCTAAGTGCTGGGCAGCAACATGGTCACCAAGGCCCCTGGAAGGGACCAGGGAGGGGAAGGGAAAGGAGGGGACCTGGCTTSTCATGAAAGAGCCCCACACGTGCAGGAACGGGGTTGAGAAGCCGTAGGGGAAGGCGCCTTCCGAGGCAAAAAAGAAACTCACCCTGTGTCTGGCCTCCCTTCCCTGAGCCTCCCTTCCTCCCCAGGCTCCTAGGTCCTCACCTGTTGTCTTGCTTGGGCCTCACTTCCCTGGATGAGAGGCCCCAGTGCAGGCAGAGTGACCCCGCTCACAAGCACAGACCTGCCCTTCCCCTGCCCATCACCGTGCCCAGCCCTGACATGGGGCAACTGATGGGGTGAAGGTGGCTGCTGACCTGTGACCCAGAAGTCCCTTCTGGACTTCCCCTGCAGCTGGGTCTGTGCCTCCCGCCCTGCCATCTGCCTCCCCCTGCACTTGCAGAAGGCTGGCCAGGTCAGGGGCAGGCTTGGAGGGGAGCCTCAGCCCTGGGCCCCGGCCCCACTCCAGGCCCAGAGCCCCTCCGGTACTGTTGGGCCTCCTTGGCCCCCGCAGCTCCCAGGAAGGCTGTGGAGACGCTGTCTTGAGGATGTCCAGGGCCAAAGCAGGCAGGTTCCTCTGAGATCTCRACTGTCCAAATGTCGAGGAGCTGGTCTCAACTCCCTGCCCAGGGCCTGCTGCCATCAGCAGGGCCCGCACCAGCCTCACCACCTGCCCCAGGGGCTGCAGAATCCACCATGAAAGGAGGGGGAGCGAGGGCAGCCACTTAGAAAACAACACCCAGACACGGCCAGGAAGCAGGAGGCAGAGCCGGGCATGGTCTGCCCCAGTTGTTGGTGCTTGTCCAGGCTCAGGAAGTTTCCAGAATCCCTGCACCACTGTGAACAGGGGTTGCCTCTGGGAAGGCCAGGGTCCCAAGAGAGACAGAAGTTGACCTTTCATTGTCTGCTGCTTAAGATGCTCTGGCCATGGGCAAACATCACCCTTTGATATAAAAATCAGTGAAGCCGCTGGGCGCAATAGCACACGCCTGTAACCCCAGTGGCTCAGGAGGCTGAGGCAGGAGGATGGCAGGTTCAAAGCCAGCCTCAGCAACTTAAAGGCCTTAAACAACTCAGCGAGACTCCATCTCTAAATAAAATGCAAAATAAGACCAAAGATGTGGCTCAGTGGCCAGGTGTCCTGGGCTCCATCTCTGGTACCCCACGTCCTCCCCCCCCAAAAAAAAATCAGGGAAGCCTATTCAAGGCCCCTTCAACCTCCAGGGTCAGGGTGGTCCCTGGCACGCTGCCCCCACCCCACTGCATTTCAGAGACATGTCTCCTGACCAGCAGCTCCCTGAGGTCCTCAAAACGCTCCCTAAAGCCCCCACACCCAGACACCTCTGTTCCTCCCCGGCACCCACCTTCAGGAAGTCCTCGAAGGTGATCCCCTCATACACTTGATCCGGTTCCTAGGGACAAGAGCGCAGGGCAGAGGGTGAGGGGCTGGGCCTCACCCTCCCTTGGCAGCGACCTGCCTCCCCGACACCCAGAGCACAGAGGGTTTGGGGCTGCTTTCTGGGTCACTTGTCTGCAGCCACACAGAGTCACCCTGAACCCCAACAACCTGCCTGAGGCTGGTGTAGGCTCACCACGGCCCTCCCGCTCACCCCCCCCCCCCAGAAAGGTCTGGTGGAGACAGGGTGGGCAGGGGACGGGGCCTCCTTCCCCAGGGCCTACCTCCTGCTCGTCCCCAGCAGCCCAGCTGCCAAGACACCTCGCTGCCCCCCACCCCCGTCCTGCCACATCATCCCCTGCCGTCCCCCCTCGGGTCCTGCCACATCATCCCCTGCTCTGATAAGAACTATTCTAGGCTAATCTGTGTGCACAGACCACTGGGGAAAGGGGCAGGGGAGTAAGGGCCAGCCTCTGTGGCCACCCTCGTGCCCATGAGTCACTATGATAACGTCCAGACACCCGGAGGTGGGGGCCAGTGTGGCGAGTGGCAGCCTTGGCCTGGCTCCGAGCCTCTGGCTTTCAAGTGTGTTTGGCGATGCCCATGTCACTCTGTCCTTTCCTCTCTGGGACAACAGGGAACACACAGGGGCTCCTGCCTCTTCCAGTTCTACTCTGGGGCTCTGACAACCTCATATCCAAAAACCTCACCCCAAAGCACCTCAGTGACAGTGAATACCCAGCTAATGGCCTAAGTGTCCATCACCAGAAGACCAGCTAAGTAGACCTCGGTGGTCCACAGGCTGAGTCCTGCGTGCTATTAAGAAGGGGTCACTGACTCGTGCTGATGCAGAAAAGCCCGAGATGGGTGCAGAGCCACACGGAGGAGGACAGCGCCTGCAGATGCGGGCGGGCAGCTCCCCAGGCCCCGGCTGGGCTCTGCCACCTGAGGCATGGAYGAGGGGGTCAGCACAGAGAAGAGGGCAGGCCACATGGTTCAAGTTCATTTTGTGTGAATCAAAAATCAAAGTCAGGGGTTGGGGCAGAGCCTGGGCAGAGGGCATGCTTAGTATGTGCAAGGCCCTGGGTTCAACCCCAGCAACCAAACAGAAAAATAACAGCACACCCCCCCCCGCCCCGGGGGCTGCGACTCAGCCGTAGAGCACTTGCCTGGCACGTGTGAGGCTCTAAGTTTGATCCTCAGCACCACATACAAATAAATAAACTAAGGTATCAGTGTCCCTCTGCAACTAAAAATATACTTTAAAAAAACATAAAAATAACAAAGTATCAAGGACATACAAGTAATATTTGGGCTTCTGTAGGAAAGTCAGCGGGGCTCTCTGCAGAGAGGGGAAGGAGTGGGTGGGCRAAGGGCAAGGAGAGACAAGCCTCAGGGCCTCACACCCTGCACCCTAAGAAAACATAGGCTAAGGTGTCCCCAGCCATAAGACCAAAGCTTTCCGGTGACAATACCACCCTGACACAGCCCTAGGTGGGCTCCATCCTCAAACCCGCCTGACAGATGACGCCTCGGGGTGCAAGGGCCACTGCTGGGGGTGGTTCTGGAGGGTCCTCTGTGGGCAGGACTCTTCCCGCTCCAGGCTGCTGCTCTACTTTTAAACACATTTATAAAACCACTAGCTCTCCACTGGCCAGCCCTGTCCCCAGGGCTCCTTCCTCCTCTTCCCTCTCATGAGCATGGACAGGAGTGGCCACCCTCTGTCCTGGGCCCCGGGTCTGTTGAAGGGTGACAGAGAGCCACAAGGGGCTGGATGGTGGGGAAGACAAGAAAGAGGGTGGAGGGGCTGGGACGAGGAAGCTGCCAGCTGAAGTCCCCACCAGGCCACGCCACGGAGCACAGCCTGCAGGGGCAGCACTTGGAAAAGAAGTCACCGCCAAGTCCATAACTGGCTTGGCAAGTCCATTAAGGGGAGGACAGTGGACCGATTGTCTCTGGCGGGTGGCGCGGTCAGAAATGTGGAGCGTCCTCAGGGGCCAGATGGCGCTGAGCGCCYGCTGTTTATCTGTGACCTTGACATCAGAAAACAAGGGAAAGGCCCACCCAGGACCCACAAGGCCCCAAGCAAGTCGTGCGAGGGCCTTCTGTGCACGGGGGCCTGTCCCCACCTGTCGGGTCCTGYGGGACACAGGCTGGGGAAGCCGGCCTACTCCCTGGCCGCTCTGATTCGATGCAGCCCAGCAGATGCCAGCTGCCAGCAATTTCACTTCCCCAAATTAAGAAAACTGTCGCCAATTGAAGCTGGAGTGGGGCAGGAGCGATTTGAAGGAGAATGTAATTAAATCAAGTGGGAATTTGGCTCCTCAGCCCGGCGGGGATCCCGCTCGCCCCAGGTCGCAGCCCTTCCTGCAGCRGCTGATTTGCTGAGTGGGAGGCTCCACCAAGGCCAGGGCTCCCTCTGGGCCGTAGAAACAGACAGATGAAACTCAGGCCTGAGATGACCGCCCTGAGYCCTGGGGCTGGCCCAGCAGCTGGCCTCGCCACAAAGAGCAGGAAACCCCCTGCACCTAGGCTGGGCCGACACAGCATCAGGGTGTCCAGACACAGCCCCGCGGTGCCAAGACGGGGGAACATCAGCRCCACCCACTGCACCCATCAGGATGTCTCCCGACTGCCTGTGCAGCCCTCTGGGGCTTGGGGCCACGGCTACCGGCTGGTGGCTCTACCCAGCCCTGCAAGAGGGTCCATCCTGCTCAGAAAAGGGCGYGGGCTCTGCCGGGTTCTCCCTGCGCTGAGCCTCGGGTTTCCCAGTGGAATGGGGCTAACGAGGAGCTCAGGGAGGACCGGCCCCTCCGCTTCACTGACCCGCCAGCCCCCCTTCAGCCCCAGACCAGGTCGCTCCCAGCCCAAGGGACAGCCCCTGCCCACCCTGGCTAAAGGCCAGAGACCRCACAGAGCAGGGCTGATGGCCGGGGGCCGTGCAAGTGCCAGCCCTTGGGCGGCCTCGGGCGGGAAGGCCACAGTGGGACCTGCTGGACCCCGAGCCTGAGGACGTGATCTCTGCAGCCCTGTGTGGCACAGCCCCCGGGGTTGGGACCCGAAGTCTCCTAGGGGTCAGGGAAGGCCGGAGGAGCCCGGGAGCTGTTGGAGGCCAGGCCTTCCTGCYGCTCCACACCCAGCGACCCCAGGGAGAGAGGCCCCGTGGGAGGGACGGGGCTGGGCCCCCAGGGCGCTCACCATCTGCCCCACGCACACGCTGGCCGCCTCCATCATGGCCCCGTCGGCGATGGAGCGGGCCGACTCCTTCTCGATGTGGGGGTTTCCGGAGAGCAGCTCCTCCACCACCTGCGGGTGGGCAGAGGGCGGTGACCTGGAGCCCCCAGGTGGAGGGGCAGGGGCCGGGCAGGGCAGAAGAGCATACTTTACATTTCGATATTCTTCCAGGGTGATGCGGCCGTCGCTGTCCGAGTCGTACATGTGGAACAGAACTGGGGGCAGCCGGGGGAGGGCTCAGTTAGGACAGCCTGGCCCCCGCCCGCTCTCTGAGAGCCACACCGCACCCAGTCACCCATGACGAAACCTCAGGCCACAACCTTAGGGGTSAAGAGCACAGGCCAGGGGGGCCGACTGACCACTGCCCAGCAGGGTGGCCTTGACCTCGGGCAAGTGACTTAACTTCTCCGAGCCTCAGTTTCCCCATCTGTGAAGTGGGAAAACAGCGTCTCCCTCGGGGTCTTGCGAGGCTGAGGAAGGCAGAGCTGGCCCACAGGGGCAGCAGGGGCAGCAGCGCCTCCATTTCCCTCTTTGCGGACACCAGCATCCTGTGGCCTGCGGCCCAGCAGAGGTGAGGAGCTGAAGGACATGGCTGCTCCCCACCACCCCTCGCTCAGCCCTGAGCTCCCCAGCTGCTCTGTGCTGGCCACTCATCCAGCACTGACCAGAGGCCAGGCCTGAGCAGAGCTCTCCACGACCCCTTGTCCCCAAGCCTGGAGGTCGGGGCTGCCAGAGACCCGTCCACAGACAGCTGCTGAGGCCGTCCAAGCTCAGGTGGCCAGACCTTAGGTTTGGATCTGTGTCCACCTGACTCCACGGCCCCCAGGGCCCCCAACCCAGCCTGCAGGGCAGTGGAAAGCTGGGTGGACGCGGTGCCCGCCTGGTCAGAGAGGCCCAGGAGGCCCCGGGCGTCAGCCCAGCGATCCCACCAGTCCCTCGGCCCACACCAGCGCTAACCACAGCCAAGGCCCCTGTTGACAGTTTCCTGATGGCGAGACTGAGCCCGGGTTGTGGTGGACAGGGATGTCGGAGTCATGGGAAAGTCCACCGAGGACAAAGGAGATGTGACTCAGGCCACGGCTTGGACCCTGCCCTCTGGCTGGCCAGGAGCACATGTCCCCTGGAGTCAGGGGACATTGGTGGCTCCTCCAGGATGCAGGCTGGCCTTCTGCAGACCCTGCCGCAGGAGCGTCACCCTGGCACTAGGGGCTCCGAGTCCTCGGTGCCACATGCGTCTGCAAATGGCACCTCCACGTCCAGGTTTGAGCTCAAGGCCACTGAGCCACTGACTAGAGTGGCTGAATCGAAACCCGTGGCTCCATGACCCCCTTCAAGTCCCAGAAAGCCACCAACCGCTGGGCCGTTTACCACGAGACCCCGGATGTGACTTGGGAGGAGGGACACGCACAACGCTGCCCTTTTAGGGACTGGCCACACAAGGACACCAGCGCTCCCTCCCTTCCACRCGTGGCCCACCCTCCTGCCGCAGGGTTTTGAAGAGGCGGCAGCCGGGGGCCTGGGGGACGCACATCTCAGCTTCTCTTTCCGAGACAGCTCCACCTGCTCCTCGCCCAGGGTGGTGTCGATGGGCCGGAAGTAGGACATGATGGTCAGGAAGTCCTCGAAGTTGATCTCGTCGGCCAGGCCGCTGGGCCCCTTGCGCAGGTTCCTGCGGGACACGAGGTGGGGGGGTTATTCAGTTACAGACGGGACCTCGTCCTTCCACGGCCACCTGTCCTCAGAACTTGGCCCTCGACACTGTCCTCATCTGGTTCTGTATCCCGAGAACCTGCTCCGTGGGGGCCCCAGGGGCCCAGGAGGCCAAAGCCCAGCACCTGCCAGAGCTCACCGTCCAGGAGGCTGGGAAGAGGCAGACACCGAGAGCCGTGGAGGAGGGCCACCAGGGAGGGACGCCCGGGGGACTGTGGTGGGCACCAGGAGGTGGGGAAACTGAGGCGCCAAGCCATCCACTGACTCGCCCAACCCACCCTTCCCTTTATCTCAGGGGTCAGCAACTACAGCCCGGGGGCCCAACGGGGCTTGTCACTCATTTTGTATGTCACTGATTGTTGTAGGCCTGTCTGGTAAGGGGCATTTTCTTGGTTTAAAATGGTTAAAAGAAAACAAATTTTATAAAARWAAWAATAATAATTCAAAATGATATTTCCTGACAAGTGAGAACGACACAAAGACTGAATGTCAGCATCCATAAGACACCACCCTGTTGGGACGCACCGTCCAGATGGCAGGAGAGCAGCAGGGCCCCGTGGCCTGCAGAGTCTCGGACCCTCCCCGCCCCTGGCCCGCGTCCTCCACAGAGAGCTCGCCAGCCCCTGTTCTCGGTCACGGGTTCGAAACCTCAGTATCCTGAGAGCTGTGAGCAGCCCCAAAGGTCCTGGGGTCGTCTGATGATGACTCCGTGGGGCAGGCGCACGGTGAGCCCCTCGGCTCCAGACCCGGCCTCCCCTCAACTCCTGCCACTGGCCGCCCACACGCGGCCTTTCCTGGCTTCACCCCCTCGCTCAGCCCCTGGGGCCCCTGGGGCAGCATCTGCCCCGCGTCCTCCCCTGGCAGCCAGAATGGGCTTCGCAAAATGCAAACCAAACCTTGTCATCCCCCCAGTTGCCGACTGGGCTGGCCCCTGGCACCCCTTCCTGGATTGCTTCCTCCCCAGGGACCCCAAGAGCTGTCCCCTGCCTGACGTCCTCCCTGGATATGGCCGCTGGGTTCCATGTCCACCTTCTGGACCCTTAATATTGCCCGATGGACTGATGTCCCCACCTCCATCCTTCAGTCCACACTGCTCACAGTGGCCCTYGGTCAGCTCTGCAGAACTTCCCACCCTCTGAGTGAGGAGTCCTTGTCCCAAGGGTGTGCCCTCTTGTCCTCTGGCCAGAGGGAGGTACTAGCCTGGCTGCGTCCCCCCCCCGCACCCTAGCCTCTCGGCACAAGCGGCCACCGGGCTCTCTGCCTCCTGATCACCGTGAGAGCGGCTTCCCTCCCCCACACTCCTCTGCCACGTTGTCCTGCCTCACCTCCAAAGGACCCAGACCCCTGGACGTTACCGGCAGGCATCGGGATCCAGACATGTTCCAGAGAGGTGAAGAATGGACGCCGGGTCATGGAGGGACACCGAGGCCCCTCCCCGTGTTCAGAACTTTACGGGTGCTGACCCGTTGCTGCTCGAGTCCGGGAGGGGGCAGGGGAGATGACCTACAACTGCCCGCCGGGCCGCCCCCCTCCAGGTCTAGCTCCCACGTCAACTCTGGGACCTGCCCTGCTTCCCGCCCCCACCCCTGGGTCTCTCTCCATTCCCTGCACAACTGCCTTTCCCCCCACTTCTGAGCCACCTGTACCCGGGGACACATTTATATTTAGTGGGGGAAAGTGACCCACTCAATTCTGAGTCCACAGCTGAGAGCCACGTGGCCTCGGGCCAGGTTTTGCTCAAGAGCAGTAAAAAGCCCAGGTCTTGCATCTGGACCCACGTAGGCGCCTGTGAAGCGCCGTCTGATCAGGACAGGCTGCGCCTCGCCCTCCAGGAGGTCCCCCAGCCCCGTCCTGCCCGGCCACACTCCGCCCAGGCTCACAGTCGCGGGCCGTCTCCCTGGGCTCATCTCCACGACCACTTGGCTCGCCTTAGTTTCTGCAGTGCTGCGCAGACGCACCAGCCTCCCTGTCCTGCTGCAGAGGCCTGTCCTCGGGGCTGGGCTAAGTTCACCTGCTCAGGGGCGCATCTGAGCCCTCACGGCCGTGCACACACAGCCCTGTGTGAGCGCCAGGCTCACGCACACACGCTCCTGCCAGGTGCCCGCTATCCCATCCTCCTATCCAGCCTTCAACCCTAGATCCTCAAACCAGAGGCCCACGTGGACTGGACGTCAGGGGCCTCACCGCCTCAGCTGCGGGGTGGCCTGGTGGCTCACTTCTAGTGTAATCATAGCAATAGTCACGCGACGTGTCTTCAGAGATGAGGTTACAAACTGTGGGGCTTCCATCTTGGGCCCCCTCACTTGGACATGTCACTCTGGAGGAAGCCAGCTGCCATCTGTGAGGCCCCCAAGATGCCTCCCAGCGGCCACAGGAAGGAACCTGGCAGCACAGCCTCCCCCAGGTGTAACTTCACCCCAGCTGACGCCTTGGCTAAGTTCATCAGAGCCTGGGCTCATTTGCAGCTGGATTCCTGACCACAGAAATGATGAGAGAGAAATACCAAGTTGGGGCTGCSGATGGGACTCTGGACTTAGCATGCCTGAGGCCCTGTGTCCCACCCCCCAGTACCACAAAGGAAAGGAAAAAAAACGACCAAGTTTGAGCYATTTGTTACACAGCCAGAGATGACTAACATAGAACGCCCAGAGAGACCCAGTAAGCTGCCCAGAGTGGCCCAGCTATGAATCTAGAACCATCGGACCCCCAATTCAACATAGCCCCACAATCTGGGTTGGTTCACGAGGCTGCTCTGAGCACACAGGTGCCACAAGTCACAAAGGACAAGGTGACCCTCCATTGGGCCTTTGAGGGGAGAGAGCCCACCTGTTGTCAAAGAAGGCACGGATGATTTTGGATCGGATGGGGTTGAGCTCCAGGTCGGGGACGTTGTTGAAGTTCTCCTTGCTGGTTTCCAAGAGGAGAAATGCCAGGGAAAGAACAAGAAGAAAGCACACGTCAGCCGGTGTCACCCTCACGTGCCCAGCTGCACYGCTCCATCCCCAGCAGGTCTCCCAAGGAAGAGATCAGAGTTAAGAGAGGGTTGAAATGGGCCTCACATCCCCTCTGCCCACCTGGAGACTTGAGAATCCGAGACAGACTGGACATTCATGCAGACACAAAGGGTGTGTACCCCATTCTGGATGCCTGTCCTCAGACCCCAGGAAGGGAACCCCTACTTTGCCTGCTCTGGGCTCTGAGCAGCAGGATGCTGGCTGGGAGCTTTGRGAAACAGTCTGGCAGTTCCTCAAGAGCCAACAGTCACCACATGACCCAGCACCACATGCCTAGGTATGAGCCCAGGAGAACTGAACACCTGTACTTCACAGCAACATCACTCACAGTAGCCAGAGGAGAGAGGATCCAGATGTCTGCAGGCTGGTGAAAGGGCAGACTGTGGTATGTCCATTCAGAGGACTATGACTCAGCCCTAAGGGGCAACGATTCCTGCTACCTCCCAGAGGAGCCTCAAAGACATGATGGCAAGTGAAAGAAGCCAGTCACAAATGGTCACAAATGCCCTGACTGCACTTAGATAAAGTGTCCAGAGCAGGCTAGTCCATGACACAGAACAGGGTTGCCAGGGGCTGGGGTTGGAGGATGGAAAGTGACATCTGAAAGAATTTGGCTTCTTCTTGGGGTGACATACATGTTCTGGGCTTGATGGTGGTGCCTGGATGCAGGACTCTCACTAAAGCCCACTGAATCCTGCATTTTAATGGGTGAGCTACACGGCAGATGAATTTGATTTCAGTAAAGYTGTTTTTTAAAAGCTACCCGCTGTGGGCTTGGGGCAGGGAGCATGCGTTTCCAGTGAGGGTGCCCTGGAGCGGGCACGGCTCCCCCAGGCTGGGGCTCAGGCACCRCTACACCCTTCACCTGCCTGTCCTCCTTCCCTGTTCTTGGAAGCTGCTTCCTGTTCACCTCTTGCCTGGGCTCTGGATGCCCATGGACAGTGACCTCAGGAGGGACCCAGGGCACAGGCTGCTGCTCCTGAGGAACAAGGTGACTTGCACAGCTGGGGAGGTGGGAAGACAGTTGTGAGCCTTGGGACTCCAACCCTGGGCAGACTCGTGCTGGGCGAGGTATGAGCCATGCCCCAAGCACCCAGCTCAGCCCACCCTGCCAGCCCCTCACGGGGGCCCAGAGGCCAGGCAGACACAGGCGTGAGCAGGACCAGGCTGCCTCCTGGATCCCCTCAGTTTTCCTCACCCCCAARGGGCTGCTTGTCCTTCCCTCGTGGCTGGGCTCGCTGGTGGCMGATGGCCAAACTCTGGAGACGGCGTCGGTGCAGGAGCCCATTCCAAGGGAGGAGGCGCTCAGAGCAGTTGGCCCAGAGTGATGGGATGTTGGGCAGTCATAAGAAAATAATGGAAATTTGGGGACCATAAAAAGGGATGAAGTAAGCCAGGCGTGGGAGTGTCCACCTGTAGTCCCTGCTACTCGGGAGGCTGAGGCTGGAGGATCACATGTTCGAGGCCAGGCTGGGCCACGTAGCAAGACCCCCATCTCCAGACCAAACCAAGCSTACCACAGAGGATGGCTCCACACGAACCCCAGAAACGTCCTGCTAAGAAGAGGCGCGCAGGCCCCACGCAGGACGTTAATCGTCTAAAATGCCCAGAAGAGGTGAATCTGGAGACGGGAAGCACAGCACTGGCTTCCGGGGGCCGGGTGATGGTGAATGGCCCTGGGGTCTCATTTATAAGAGGTTCTAAACTCGATCTCAGACTTTAAACAGATGAATTATACAATATCTACGTTAAATCTCCACGACACTATTTACAAACCTCCCTGAACTCTCACAGAAGGAGCCCTGAGCTAGGACTCCATTCACACCGGGGCACAGAGCGTGCCCAGGAACCCGCAGCTAGCAGCCAGGGTGATGCCAGCTCCCTGGGCGGTGACCTGGGCTGGGAACGCTCTGCTGGGCAGTCCCCGCCACGAGAGTCCCTCCCGGGTACTTTTCTCTGGCCACGTCAGGTCCCCATGTGCTAGGACAGCGTGCTGCCCTCCCACCTTGGCTGGAGGGGACCACAGGACACGGGGCAGAGAGGCCAGGCCCTGGAGAGGAACAAGCCGAGGTTACCAGGGGAGACAATCAGTCCACAAAGTCACGATTGGATGATGGACAGTGACAGCTCGTGTTCCCTGTGCGAGTGACCTGCCCAGGCCCCCTCTACCCGGAAGCGCCTCATGGTGGCTCTGTGGTCCCTGACCTAAAGGTGTGGCACAGAGAGGTTCCATGACCTGTCCAGCTCAGCCAGCTGGGGTTGGAGTGTCACACGGGACCCCCATGCAGGACCCCCATGCCACCCTGCCCTGCATTTCTCAAAGTCCCCATCCCTGACTGAGAAAGGGACCGGCAGAGCTGGAGAGGGAACTGGGGGGAACAGGACGAAGCCACTCTGCAAGCAGGCGGCCCAGGGCACCCAGAGCCTCTGGCTCTCCTTGCTGGGGCCTGGTGGAGAGGCCCAGAGCCCAGCTCCTGGCATCCGCCCGGGCCGCGCACTGCTCTGCTACCCTGGTCAAGCGACTCTGCCTCTCTGAGCCACAGTCTCCTCCTCTGGAAACGGGAGTCTCGCACGGTCTGTGTGCAGCTCATGTGACCCATTCCTGACACACTTAGTACCTGCTGTATACCGAGTGCGCCATAGAYGGCAGTTTTCAGGCCAGGGAATACAAGCGCCTGTGGAGGGGACCCTGGGTGTTGGGTGCCAGGCCCAGCTCCTTCCCCGGGACGAGCTGTCCAGGCCCAGGGAGGAGAGCAGTGGGGAGGAGGGAGGGAGGTGCTGTTCCCTAGCTTCAGTGGTTACGGGGCTGCAAGGTCTCCCTCTGGGACAACCAACACCTGCCAGCCTCTGACCCACCAGCAGCCCAGAGCCCGGGGCCCGGGGGAGGCTTTTGGTGCCATCGACCCCGGTGTCAGCCTGTCCTCCCCTCCTCCCCGCCCGCCCCCAGGTGCCCGCTGGGCAGGTTGAACTGGCCAGGCGGAGGTGTCCTGCCAGGGGACTGTGCTCTGCCTCTCCTCGGAGCCCAGGCTGGGACCAGAGCCAACTTACAGTGATCAGCGTCCACTAGCGCTGCCCCAGGGGACATCAGAGCATGGGGTTGGCCCACCAGGGCCCTGGGGACCCACACCTCCTCTAAGGAGCTCAAGCCCTGGAGTGCTCTCACCATGCCAGGCTGTGCCAGTCCCCATGAGGTCTAACCACGCGTCCACACACCCACAGCAACACGGCGAGGCCCAGGGAGGCGAAGTGACTAACCTGCAGTCACACAGCCAGCGAGAGGGCTCTGTCCTCCGCCTGCTCTCACCCTCCAGGCCGCTTCCTCCCCGGCCACTTCCTCCCCTAGGCTGTGCATTTTAACTTAAAGAGAGGGGACCAGGGTTGTGGCTCGGGGGTAGAGCTCTCGCCCGTAGGTGCCAAGTCTTGGGTTCCATCCCCAGCACAAAAAGAGAGGGGGCCGGAGGAGAGTGGCATCTGCTGCCTGAGCTCCCAGCCTGAGGCCCCGTTAGGAACCAGGGACAGGCAGGACAGGCATCTGGCCCAGGGGGAATGAGATTAAAATCACCAGTGAAGGCTGCTGGCCCCTCTGGAGCCGCGGTGTGGGCTGGGGTCCTCAGGCCRCTGGGGCCGGCGCAGCTGCAACCGTCTCTGTACTTTGGGCCCCGAGTCCGGCTTAACCCCACGGAGGCTGCGAGCCAAGCCCCCAGCGAGGCCCCAGATTCTCAGCCCCCRCTCTCTGCAGGCCCAGGGCTCCCCTCCCAGCAAGGCCACCTGTCCTCCCCTGCCCAGCTCCACCAAGTCCCCACCCTGCGCTGTCCGATGCTCCCCGTGGGAATCTGAGGCCCCCGGCTCTCCAAGGCAGGTGGGTGTCCAGGCCAGGCCCAGCCTGTCACCTGAGGACACAGGGGGACCAGAGAGCAGGCCTCGGGGGTCTGCTGCAAGAGACGATGGCAGTCTGGGGGTGCACAGGGAGAAGTGGGGGACAGCGAGCCGGGCTCCTGGAGGGAGCTGAGCCCACAGAAGCAGGGGTGAGCCCAAGAGGGACACCAGGGGAGACCTAGGAGATTCAGCCACTGGAAGGGTGAGGTCTGGGGATAGACAGGGACAACCGTGAGGGCTGATGAGGGCTCGCTTAGGACATGAGGCAGGTGGGGTTGCTGCAGGAGCGTGGGGTCTGTCTTGCTGGAGGCGCAACTCGGGGGGTTAACGTGCAGGTGGGGTTTCGAGTCGTGAGTGTGTATTTTAGCTCAAGGACAACAGGAAGCTGTCCAGCCATATGACGGCGGGTGACCTGTCCCCACCTCTCCATCTCCCACCCTCAAGCTAGGGAAGTTGGGTCCTCCCCACCTTCCCACCCAGAAGCTCCTCCCCTCCCCGCTGGTCTCAGCCCAGATGTGGCCTCCTCTGAGGAGCCTTCCCTGACTGCCCATCCTGAGGTCCCTGTCCCCACCACGGTCCCAAGGGTGGCACCCTCTCTGCCCCTTCCTCCGTCACACCGTGACACCTAACAGCCTTGCTCCGTGCTCGCTCTCGCCAGCTCTGCCTACCCCCCGCGCCCCTTCCCCTGTCCCAGGAGATCTGCCCTAGAACCTCCCACAGGAGGCCCCGGGCGCCTGCTCGTCGGGGAGCAGGACGGTGTCAGCATCCCACACCTCGGGGAGAGGATCTCTGGACACGGCACACTCGAGTGAGTGCCGCCATTCATCCAAGACCCGGGGAGCTGCTCTGGAAACCTCTCTGCACCCCATCCCACCACCCGACTCCTCCAGCTTCCCTTCCCACACCTGCTCCCCAACCCCCTCCCCCAGGTGGCGGGAAGGGAGCTCTCACTAACTCGGGGAACCTACCGATCCCGACCGTGACCTGCCCTGGGGAGGGTGACAGGGCCCCAGCTTCACTGTCTCGAGGACTTCTACAGCACTGCCACGACCCCGGTAGGTCTCAAGCCAAGGGACCTAACTCTGGGGACAGCGACGTGACTGCAGGGTCGGGGCTTTAGCTCTGCGGATGGCAGGTGAACCCCACCCCGGGTGTGCAGGCAGAACTGCTCTAACCTCAGTGTCTTCACTGGTGAGATGGGTCCAAGGTGCGAACCTCTGAAAATCCTGGAGAACCCCAAGGCCACGCAGCGCAGCCGGAACCCCGGTGCCTGGCCGCTCCTGGCAGCTGGGACTTCCACATACGCGCGTGACCCCGCTCTGACTTCCGAGGGAAAAGCGATGCTGGGAAGCCCCCACGGGACCTGAAGTCAGGACGCTTTGTGGTGGCCCTGCATGGCTCCGCTCTTGGTGAAGTCACCTGCCTTCCCCATGCATGCCTGGGGCTGGGTCCACCCCAACATCACTCCACATTCAACATCATGAGGTCTAAACTACCCAGGTCTGGGCCTTGTGAAGAACCCCACCAGCCACACCTCTAATCCCAGCATTCAGGAGGCAGAGGCAAAAGGATTGCAAGCTTGAGGTTAACCTGGGCAACTTAAAAGACCCGTCTCAAGATCCAAAGGGCTGGGTGTGCAGCTCAGCGGCAGAGCACTTGCTTAGCATGTGCGAGGCCCTGGGTTCAATCCCAGAGGGTATACCTACAAGTGGGGTCCTGAAGCGAGGCAGTAAATGCTTCAGGGTCAACCTGCCCCCAGAAGTTCTCAGGTGATTTTTGAGACAGAGGGGTCCAGACAGGACATGGGTAGAAAATGGCATATCTAAGATGAAAATCTGGCTCCTCCACTTAGAATCTGTGTGACCAAGAGGCTCACTCTTGCTGAGGCTGGCTTTGAACTCTCGATCCTCTCTCAGAGCCCTGCTTCCTGCCTGCCACCTGGAGAGAGCAAGTGTTCCTACAGCTTCCTGTGGGGCTGTGCAGGACCAAAGGGACACGCCCCTCTGCCCCGGACCCTCRACAGGCTCAAAGAACAGCAGCCTCACCTGTGGGCAATTCTCACGCACCCGACCCCAGATCCTCTTTGCCTGGGCTCTTTTCACAGGTTTGAGCATCCTTAATTAGAAAATCCAAAATCTGGGACTTGGTGACATGACCAGCAACTGGACAATGCCACACCATGACACCAAGTTTCACACAAAGTTAAGAGATGAGATTCACCTATGCACATAAGTTGTGTTTGAGACATGGGTGAATTTCATGTTTGGACTTGGGTCACGTCCCCAAAATATCCTATTACAAATAGGCGGTCTGGGGAGGGTGGGGAGGGCCACCGTTTCACCTGAGCCCCTGTCCTGCTGGTGAGGAGCGGGAAGACAGAGAATCAGTGTCAACACAGAGGTGGTGCAGAGTCACATAAGAGCTGTTGGCAGCTGTCCCACCGAGGAAGACCTACTGTGCGCTGTCCTGGGTGCTGAGCGTCTGCAGCGCTAGTTAGAAATGCAGTTCCAAAGCCCACCCCAGACCTGCCCAGGCAAAGCCTGTATCTTTTTTTTTTTTTTTTGTACCAGGGATTGAACTCAGGGGCACTGGACCACTGAGCTGCATCCCCAGCCCTATTTTGTATTTAATTTAGAGACAGGATCTCACTGAGGTGCTTAGGGCCTCACTTTTGCCGAGGCTGACTTTGAACTCGCCATCCTCCTGCCTCAGCCTCCCCAGCCGCTGGGATGACAGGTGTGCGCCACTGCAACGGGCCAAAGCCTGTATCGCAGCAGCTTGCCAGGTGATTTGCACAGGCACTCGAGTTGGCATGGGGCGCACTCTTCCAAGATTCTCCCAAAGCCCTTGCTGGGCTGCGAGGCAATATAGACTCTGGAACCAAAACCCCGAATGGCCTCCCTCTCCAGGCCTTCTCCTGCCCACAGCGCTCAGCCCCACTCTGCACCCTCCTCCACAGGGTGCGGTGGAAGGACCCAGCCCCGGTCTTCATCATCTGCAGGCATCTGCTCCAATGGGGGGACGGTGCCCACTTCTCCACAAGAAGACTCAGAGAAACAGGCGGCTGGCCCAAAGCCACACAGCCAATGGCAGGAAGGATTCAACTAGGGATTTGCTTCCCAAACCTGGGGTTTGCCTCTCCATCCCTCAAGTCTCTCACCAGCCAGACCCAGGCCTTCACAGCTGGGGCGGGGCAGCACGCCTAATTTGCATGTCCAGCTCCTGGTCACGGTGATTGGCTCAGACTCAGACATGTGATCCCATGAGAGCCAATGAGAGGCCGGGTGGCTTACCCTTGGCTCAGGCTCTCTCTCCTGGGGGTGCGGGGAACTTAGCGGGCAGGTGAGTGGCCCTGAGGGTGCTGGTCCTGGTTGCCCTTGACTTTGGATAAGTCAAGACCACAAGAACCAAGCTACCACCAGCATCCGGGCTCTTGAAAGGGATGCTCTGAGATCAGGATGCCCTAGAGCAACAATGTGCCTTTGTTCAGGCAGACAAGAGAAGGTGGTGACGTTGGTGTTGGTTTCCATAAAAGGAAGGTGACATTTAAGTCTGTCTACTAAGGAGGAGGAAGTTTTCCTGGACTATTTAAAGGTTTTAAAGCTCCAGTGACTGTCACCTTGAGGCCCTGGATGTTTATTTGAGGACACATCTGTTAGAAAGTCTGTGGTAGAAATCTGCTCCGGTGGGACAGTCAGCTGGGCTTGCTGCAGCCAGACCTGAAGCTCTCTGGCCCACTGTGTGACCACCCGACCCCTCGACGCCAAGGCCCCCTCACCAACCTCCTTCCAAACTACTCAGCCAGCCCCCGGGCACCGCCAAGGCATTCTTTCCCATTAAAAAAAAAAAAAAACCAACTTGGATGGCATCTAGAAAAGTAACTTTTAAAACATGGTCGAGAAGGTCAATTTTCCTTGACAGAAACTTGAGGCTGTAAATAATGGAAGGAAGCAGAATCCCAAGATGGGGGCCTTGGGACCACACTGGCACCCTGCACCACWCGACTCACCTGTGCGCCCAGCGGTSGGCAGGGTCSTGGCGCTTGGGTGGCCCAGGGGCTGCTCCTCCCCTCTCCTTCCTCCACTCCAGTTAAAAATCTCTKGTCCCAATACCAACAGAAGTGGCTTGTCCCCTCCAGCTAGGGGACATCTTGTCTTAGAAGGGACCAGAAGAATTTAAACAACTGCAGGCTTGTTTCAGGACAGGGGCCACCGGGGGCTCTCCCAACCCTCCGCTGCCCTCAGGGAAGAGAAAAACAGAGGAAAGTCCCCGAGCGCCACAGGCCCAGCCTGGTGCCCRCGCCAGCCAGTGGCAGGTCTTACCGGATGGTGGGCTGGTCTCCACTCAGCTGCTTAAACCTCCGGTGCAGCTGCTCGATCTGCTCCGAGGAAACTGAGAGTAGAGAAAGAAAAGGAAAGAAGACACACGTCACCGACAGAGGAACTTGGGAGACCAGAGGAGGCTGTGGACACTCTTCTGCCCCCTCCTCACCTGGGTGCTGGGGTCCTTGTCATGACAGCACCCACCCAGGAAAAACTCAAGGCTGGACAAGCAAGTGGAGGGTCCCCACTGTGCCTGGCAGAGCAGCCCTGGGGTTACCCACTCTCTTAGTAGTAACACAACTGTGAACTAATAACAGGGCAGACAGACCTCGCCATCCTCTCTCAACCATGGTCCAGCCCCAGCCCACTAAGGACAAAGCTGGATCTACTTATGTGACCTCCTCTCTGACTTCACAGGATGGGGTTTTTCCAAGCTGAGAAAGGCAGATGAAGAGTTAGACGAAGCTGGGCGCTGTGGCGCACGCCTGCAACCCCAGCAGCTTGGGAGGCTGAGGCAGGAGGATCACAAGTTAGAGGCCAGTTTCAGTGACTTAGCAAAAGTCTTGTCAGATCAACGTAGGAATGAATACAGAGCTGGGATATGGCTCAGTGGTGGAGTGGCTCTGTGTTCGATCCCTAGTAACCCCCCAACCCCACCACCCACCCCCCCCCCACACACACACATACACACATGCAGAGGAGCAGGCTGATGTGGAAAGCTGTTCGAGAATCTTGGAGTAAGAAATGTTCCAAGAATCTGATGCCATGAGGGCAGGGAAAGGGAAGGGCTCAAGTTTTGATCCCGGTAGCAGTGGGGGACGATCTGAACCCACTCAAGCTCCCAGAACACCTCTGTGTCTTCCACACTTCACTCTTGGCTGAGCCACTTCTGAGATGGGACCCTCTGGGTTCTGGGCTTTCTAAGGGGCGCGCCCACAGGTCGGRGGCTTGTTTTACGGAACCCAGGCATTTCTCCTTTCATCTGCACAACAACCCTGCAAGGGAGGACACAGAGTGATCTTGGTGTGGCCACTGGASTATGGCCACAGAGAGGGGTTAAGGTCACACGATCTGCACGTGGTGGAGCTGGGACTCCATCACAGCCTGCCCTGCCTGCCCTGCGGTCATTATCTGCCCTCAAGGCCTTCAGGGCTGGCCCCTGGGGACTGTGTGTAGCCCAGGCAAAGCTTCCCAGGGCAGTGGCTGGGCTGGGGGCTGCCGTCCCCCTACAGTCCTCTCAGCACCCCCGGCCCACAAGTCCCCAGCTCCTCTTGCTACAGGAACATGGACTTGCTGGGCCAACTGGTCACTCCCCCGCCCCCCAGCAGGCTCAAGCTGTGCTCTCTTCAAGAATCCGCAGCTCAGACTCCTCAAGCATCCCGAGCAGCTGCTGTTGGTAGGAAGTYGTCTTGGAGGCTGCCAACCTGGGCTGGGCGCGGCTCCAGGCATTAGCTCATCCGCCATGCGGCGCCCTGGAGGGGCGGCATCCCCGCCTTGCCCGCGCACACACGGATACTTGGAAAGGTTAAGTAACCCGCAGGGGCAACGTCGAGCCTTTATGGAGGAAAACGTGGCCATCATGTCACAGGTATGTCAGCAAGGACACTGACTGGCCCACCCAGTGTCCCCRCAGTCCCATGCCCCAAGAATGTGTGGGAGGATGCCCGTGAGCACCGTGAGATCATCCTGGACTGAAGACTGTCCCCTGCCCAGCAATGGCACAGAGTCACTGTGCTAAAGGGTGATGCGTGGATAACTGAATAGTATTCAGCAACGAAAAAGGAAACCATAGAACAATGAGCAAAAAGGAGCCAGCCCTGAAAGAGTGAGGGCGTGAGGAGTCTGAGGCCAAAGGACAGTCGGTGTAAATAATAAATAACTGGGTCCTCCCGGGAAGGCGGGGCTGATTCCACAGGAAAGGAAATCAGATGCTAATGCATCCAGAGCCCTTCACCTGTTGCCTAGGCGACTGCCTGCAGGAACCTTCCTCCCACAAGTTGCTAATGGAGTACCTCCGGGTGGGCGCCTCCTTCCCTGCCCTTTGGGCAGACTCGGAAGGGCACCCCTGGAAGGCTTCCCTCCCCTCCTCTTGGCCCAAGGCAGGCAGGACTCAGCTACAGAGTTAGAGCTGAGGGGTACAGGGGGGTGTGGGTGCTGGGAACGTCCCACTTCCCGATTTGGACCCAGGTCACACGTGTGTGTTCTTGGAAAGGTCACGGGGCTGGGTGCTCACACATGCAGGTACATGTGTGTGCTCTGTGTGCGTGTCAGATCATTAAAAAAAAAAAAAAACTTTGTTAAAAGTTTCAGTCATTCTACTTAGTGGAAATCTATCCAGGAAAAAAAAAAAGTGAACCCCACAGGTCCCCAAAATGAACATGTCACTGTGTCACTCCTTATGCAGGTGGGGTATCCCTTATCTGAAATCCTTGGGACCATGCATTTCAGATTTTGGATTTTTTTCCAGATTTTGGACTACTTGCATATATATGGTGAAATACCATGGGAATGGAACCCGAGGCTACACGTGAAATTCATTTAAGTTTCACATGCACTTTATGTAGATAGGCTCAAGGTAGCTTTATGTGACATTTAGTTTGTATGTGAAACAAAGTTTCTGTACATTGTGTCACCAGACTTGTGACATGGCATTCAACCCGAGTGCCTGTCAAAAGCAGACTGTCCAATACATTACAGTGTGTTTAGCAAAAAAAAAAAAATAATAATTAATTAATTAAAAAGGATTCTGGCTTTAAAAGCAACAATTGTGACGGTGGCACCTGTGGTCCCAGTGACTCAGGAGGCTGAGGCAGAAGAACTGCTTGCTTGAACCCAGGAGTTTGAGGCCAGCCTGAGCGGTTATCCAGACCTCACCTCAAAACAACGATGATCACGTGTTTGACGTGGTGAGACATTCCAAATAGTGCTTGGCTACAAAGCCACTGTGACACTGTGTTGGAAGTGGGTCAATATATACAAATGCATATGTGATAACAAAGCCCCATGAGTTATTTCCCCCCAAATAGTAGCAATTATCTCTCAAGATTGGAATTAAGGACTTTGTTTTACTTCATATTCATTTATAGGCTCCAATTATTCTCCGTCCCATGTATTAGTCCTAGAACACAGCTCTCAAGACACATTGGGGCCCACATGGGGCAAAACATTTGTAATGAGAAGCCCTTGGCTAAGCACCAAGTCCCAGGCACCCGTGTCCTGTGCAGGACACACTCTTCCCGTGTGACACAGGAACAAATTGAGGTTTGGAAGGGATAGTAACTTGCTCAAGGTCATTAACTTTGAAAGAGGTGGATCCACCATTGGAACTCCAAGAGCCTTGCAAAAATAATAATTTTATATATGTGGTTCCCTTTTGTGTTTGCTTTGTTCATTTTTTTCTTCCTTGTCGCCCACACAGTCTCCCTTTGTGTGATCAGTGATCACAGAAAGTCCCTGGCCCTGACCCACAGGTTTTCAAAAATGCACAAATCTGATCAGAAATAAAGATCAGGCCCCTGAACCACTCCGGCACAGGGTGGTGCGTGGCAGGCCAGCTGCACAACAACTGTGGTTCCGTCTAGACCAGATGCCCAGGCAGGAGAATCCAGACCCGCAGGGAGACCTGGGGCTGGCGAAGGGAACTGGGGAGACTTCTGCTCATGGGTACTGGGTTTCTTGTGTGAGTGGGGGAATTAAATTAGACCGTGCGGATGGTGCATGATCTTGTGATTATACTAAAATCTACGCAGCACTGCTTAAATGGGTGAATTTCATGGTGTGTCAATTTTATTTCAATAAAGTCATTTAAAAGTCAGGTGTTGTGGTGTCTGCCTGTAATCCTACCTACTCGGGAGGCTGAGGTGGGAGGATCCCAAGTTCAAGGCCAGCCTGGGCAACAAAGTGAGACCCTATCGCACCCCCCCTAAAAAATAATCATATACATAACAACAAGTCGAATATATAATCAGGACAATAAGACAGGAATTAACTGAGCACTTWCTGTTTCCTAGGATCTGTGCCCAACCCCACTATTACAGAGCCTGATTCACAAAGCCCACTCATCCATGGTCCCAGGTGGACTCGGGTCTCTCCCCATTCCAGAGACGGGATCACACAGCTAGGAAGAGGGGGAGCCATCAGACCAGGCTGATCTAAGGAACAGCTGCCTCCTAACTGTGTCCACCACACGCACATAGCTTCTCTCTCTCAGTCCTGCCTGATTGGGAGCAGAGTATCAGAAAGACAGCCTCCTTTCTCGGGGTCCCCTCTTTCTGGCACCCAAGTCCCCAGAGCCAAGGACTCATCTTCAGCTCAGCCGAGACTCCTCCCCCACATGAACTGAGTCTCAAGATACCTGGGCGGCTGGGGTGCGGCTCAGTGGTAGAGCAGGTGCTTGCTAAGCTCCAGGTCTGGGCTCCCTCCACCCCCAGGCACCGCCCAAAAGAAACAGAACTGAAGGCAGCCCTGGCCCTGGCTGGAGCTGGCCAAGCTCCCACACCCACCTAGGGAGCCGCCTTCCCCTTCACCAGATCTSCGTCTGCAGGCCCTGCGGCTCCTCCGGGGACCTGGGGTGGAGCCTTCCCAGCTTCCTCTTTCTCACCTTCTCCAGGGCTCAGGGAGGTCCCCGTTGCCATGGACACAGCGGGCAGACTGGGGCTAAATTCCTGGCAGCTCCCACCTCCTTGTTTGGGGTGTTAGATTTCAACCTGAGGGAAATGCACACCCTTCTGTGCAGCTGGTGGGGTTTCAAGGGAGGGGGAGGGGATGGCTGATGACTTTGTATCCAAAGCACCCACTAAAAAGAAGACAGACAGAGGCATGCTGGGGTGTGACCACACAGTGGCTTACAAGGTCTTCATATGGAAAATAGAAAAATCTCAATAATATTTTATGTGGGTTTGATGTTGAAATAATATATATATATATATATATATTACAGCCCTGGGCTTGAACCCAGGGGCGTGCTGCCATTGACGGCTGCTTCCCCAGCCCTCTTTATTTGGAGACAGGATCTACTAAATGGCCCAGGCTGACCTCAGAATTTCAATCCTCCTACCTCAGCCTCCTGAG